GTAGGAGGTAAACCAATTCTGGAAGTGTCTTGGAACTTCCATAAGTAACTTTAATTTTAGCATAATGATGGCCGTGGATTGCCTGACCTCAGTAGCTATTAAATAACATCAAGTAACATCTGTATCAGGCCCTCACGCAACATACAGTTAAGTGGGAGTAAACAAAATAAGACGAAAGTGTGTGTGGATGGCTAAGGCGAGAGCACCCGGGATAAAAGCCTAAAAACAGGAAACAGCTTCTCTGCAGCATCTACTGCTGCTGGACCTACAGATGGTGACGGCAAAGATTTAGAACACATTGTTTTTTTTTTCAAAGACGAAATCTCAAAAAACCCAGAGTCAACATCGATGCTCGAGAGTTAGCATAATTTGGAGTTATTCAGGAATTGCAGAGAAATGCATTTTCACAGAAATCAAGATGTTATTTTTGTATACTATATCACTTAGACAACTGTGTTTCATTTGCTGTAATCAGTTTTTAAAAGTCAGATGGAAAAAGCAACTGAAGTCCTAGAAAAAAAATAGAAAAATGTAATTTTAAACTATTCCAATAAAGGTGGAGGAGGAAGGGGATTTTGACTAAAGTTCTTTTTGTTTCCAATTTTCATTCATGTATATAGTGTGAAATGCCATATTAAAGAGGGGAATGTGGAGGACTGAAAGCCGGCAGTTTGGACTTTTTCTTTTGGTACTAAACTAGTCATGACTGCGGTGAGCAAATTCTGGACACGCGGGGAGTGGATCTTCAGGGTCGGCTGTTGGCAGAGCTGTAGGAAATTGAATTCTCTACTTTTGGGGGGTGAGTGGGGAGGGCGTAACCAGGGATTGAACCCAGAGGCCCTCGACACTGAAGCACATCCACACCCCTTTTTATATTTTTTGAGATGGCATTGCTGAGGCTGGCCTCCAACTTGCGATCCTCCTGCCTTGGCCTCCCGAGCTGCTGGGATGACAGGCGTGAGCCACCACACCGGGCTAGGAAATTTAATTCTCTTTATAACCCACCCATTGGTCACCACAGCCCTTTCATCCTCTGTTCATTCTGAAGTTTTAATACAATTGCTGTTTTTAGCAATTCGTGCTTTTTCTTGGAATGGACTTAATCATCTGGTTTAATGAGGTTATGACATTCATTTCCTTGTGAATATACTTTAGCATCATTTGGGGGGATATTTTAACTATCTCAGATCCTAAGTCCATTAAATATCTTGATGGTCTTGATTTTTCTACCAGGAGTAGCAAACATTGTGAATGAACCCCCCTTTTATCCTGTCCTCAGTCTCTACCACTGAACTGTTTGATTTTGAAACAGTCTCTTGCTAAACTGCTCGACTGACCCTGAACTTGTGATCTGCCCACCCCAACCTCAGTAGCTGACCTGTTCCCAACAAACCACCACGTTTCCCTTCAGAAGATCATTTTTTGCCTTGACCCTGAGGATGGAGCAGTTGCAACATGAACAAGTATTTAACAGGGAAATCCAACTCAGTAGGCATCAGTGTGCGACTCGCATAGGAATGAGAATTTTGCAGAAAAACCTGGTAGGAAGGTAGAAACATGGCTTTGTATGAATGTCTTCTTGGAATTGAAATTTAAGGTGAGGTGGTGCACACCTCTGGCTCAGTGGTGGAGCACTTGCCTGGCCTGCGTGAGGCACTGCATATAAATAAATGAAGGTCCATTGACTAAAAAGAAACTTGGGATCCTCCTGCCTCAGCCTCATCTGGGATGGCAGAGGTGCCTCACTTCACCTGGCCATATTCCTATTGTGGCTTCAGTTAACATTAATATACATCTGTTAGGGACAGACTGCTGTTAGTAACTGTGCCTTCACGTCTTGATCAGGTGTGGACCACATAGTGATCTTGCGTTTGAAGAATTTCAAAAATAATAATTGAAGGGAGTGATCAGAGAGCTGATGTTTGTAGTTGAGCCATTTGAAAGTAAGTTCCACCAGTGGATCTGGAGGCTGAGGCAGGAGGATCGCAAATTCAAAGTCAGCCTCAACAACTTAGTGAGACTCTGTCTCTAGATAAAAAAAAATGGCTGGGCATGTGGCTAACATGGTTAAGCGCCCGTGGGCTCAATCCCTGGTACCAAAAAAACAACAACAAAAAAAGATGTGACTCTTATTCATTCAATATTTCACCATGAGTCTCATAAGGATTAAGATGTGGGGCTGGGGCTCAGCAGTACCACACTTGCTTGGCATGTGTGAGGCACTGGGTTCGAATCCTCATCACCACATATAAATAAATAAAATTAAAGTCTATCAACAACTAAGAAATATATATAAAAATGTTTTCTCATAATCATAATGCCATTATAATAATCCAATATTATCCCCTTAAACCATCTAAGTAGCCCTAATTTGCCAAAGGCAGCCGGGACCCAGGCTAAGTTTGGGAGTTTTGTTTGGTTACACCTAACCTCTAACCTCTGCCCCCATAATCTTGATTTCTGAAAAGATCAGAATAGTTTTCAAAATTATTTTTTGTGGCTGTAGATGGACACAATAACTTTATTTATTTCTGTGTGGTGCTGTGGATGGAAAACAGGGCCTCACGCATGCTGGGTAAGCCCCCAGCTCCAGCCCCAGAATAGTTTTCTGCAAAGTCAAATTCACCAATTATTTCCTAGGGCATCATCTTATTTTTTCAGTGTCCCCAACGTTTCCAGGTCTGGAGGCTTGAGCATTCGATTGAGCTTCAGGTTTTTGGGGGGCAGGAGTGTATTACAGGTGTGTGGCAGACGCTGGGTCACGGGCCTCTCTCTGCTAACACAACTGATGGAAAACCATCTTGCAGATTTTCCATGACAGGGGCCTGTGTTTCCTGTGGAAATGTGGTCATGGGACCCTTGGCTTCTGATGTCCTTTGAGTTGATGTTTTTAAGCATTTATTATCCCTTTTGTGAATGTGAATGTAGCCTTGTTCTCATGTCACACGATGGACAGGAATAGATACAGGGGTTCCATGGTTTTGGGGTTTTTAATAAATACTGAAAACCAATTTTAAAAAAATCACCCAAGGATCAGGGTGCAGTGGCAAATCCCTGTCATCCCGGCAACTCGGAGGCTGAGGCAGGAGGATCGCAAGGTGGAGGCCAGCCTCAGTAACTTAGGCCCTAAGCAACAGAGTGAGACCCTGTCTCTAAAATATGAAAAGGGCTGGGGACAGGGCTCAGGGGTTAAGCACCCCTGGGTTCCGTCCCTGGTACCCAGGGCCTCGCGCATGCTAGGCGAGTGCTGTAATGCTGAACCCCAACCCCAGCCCGCACTTTTTAATTCTTGAAAAAAAAAACTATAAGCAAGTGATCATGCCTAAGAACAGATACCCATCTGCACTCTGGCCTTGTGGCATGGAGGATCATCTCAAAGAATTTACGTGTAGCATCTTCACCAACCTACTAGGAATTTGGGGCTCTGAGCCCCACAGTGGCATCCAGCGCGCTCCTCAGCCACAGACTGAAGGCTGTCAGAAACTTCACCTATTTGTCACCCCCACAAATTCATTTCTATACATGGCATAACCTTGCTTGACTTTGTATCCCCATCTGGGCACTTCCTCTGGTCAGGTGGGGTGCCCAAATACTGCCAACGGTGGACCCTCAGGAGTCAGTGACACTGTGGTCCGTCCCTGTAATCTCAGCAACTCCGGAGGCTGAGGCAGGAGGATCACAAATTAGAGGCCAGCCTCAGCAATTTAAGGAGACTACTCTCAAAAAATAAAAAAGGACTGGGCACGGGGCTCAGTGGTTAATTGTCCCTGGGATTAGTCCTCAGTACCAAAACAAGTCACACAGAACTACTGTTTCCTCCACACCTCCTGGAGGTACATGTTGTCCTCACCTTGGGACGAGTGATGGCTGTCACCAAACAGAAAGGCAAATGACAGTGTATTTTTATTAGGTTCTTTAAAAGATAAAACAGGATAAATATCCTCAAAGGGTTTCGCTCATCGGGTGGGAGGACAAATCCCATCTGATTGCATGAGGGAAAGGTTGAACATGTTTTGTAAAAAAAAATAAATAAAAATAAAATAAAAAACAGAAAGCAAGGAATCACATCACAGCCAGGCACAGTGGCACACGCCTGTCATCCAAGCAGTTCTGGAGGCTGAGGCAGGAGGATCACAGCTTGGAGGCCAGCCTCAGCCAAAGCAAGGTGCTAAGCAACTCGGTGAGACCCTGTCTCTAAATAAATATTAAAAGGGCTGGGGATGGGGCTTGGTGGTTAAGGGCTCCTGGGTTCAACCCCTGGTGCCACTGAGCCCATCTCCAGCCTTTTTAAATTTTATTTTGAGACAGGGCCTCCCTAAGTGGCTGAGGCTGGCCTCCAACTTGCGATCCTCCTGCCTCAGCCTCCGGAATCGCTGGGATGACAGGCGCGAACTCCGCGCCCGGCTTCAGTCCTTATTTTAGAGGAGGGTGACCTCCTGCGCCCCTCGGTGCCTGCAGACGAGCTCAGCAAACGCCCAGACCCCATGTAAATGACAAGGGAAGGTGACGTTTATGCGAGTCCCCGAGGAAGGGACTCGCGTTCCCCTCGGACCCGAGACACCGGCTCGGATTTCTGCAGCTGCTGGGGCCACAGTCCACGAGGGCGGGTGGCAAAGACTCCGTTTGTGCGAAGAGAGGGGGACGAAGAGTTTCTAAAGGATGACATCCGCTCTCACGGAAGAACCAAGAAGAGGCAAAGAGGCGACAATAACCCCAAACGGCTTCCCGCACCAACAAACCCCGATTTCGCTCACTTCCGCCGCATCAACAGGTAACACGTAAAACACTTGTTATCGCGAGAAACACTTGTTAGCGCGAGAAGCACTTGTCCTCGCGAGAAGAAAACCCGGCAGCCCAAACACCCCCGTTGCACTGCGCAGGCGTAATTTTACCGACGCCCCTCTCTCCACCGCCCCTCCCCACGTACTCGCGCTATTTTGCGTCTTACGCTCGTGGGAAGGCCACCCACCCGCCCAAGAGCGTTCCTACGTTATTTTCCTCCTCCCTCGGCTCTCATTGACTTCCTGTGCTTCACTTCCGGTCCTTCAAGCTCACGTTTACTTCCGGCCCTTTTCCTTTATTCTTCCGACAGAAAGTTCCGTGTCTGTCGGCACTTAGCATTTTCAGTTCCCGCGAGGGGCGGCCTCGTAGCCGGTTGTGAAGCAAGGTGGGCCGGGGCCTCGCGGCCCCAGGGCGGCGGCCTCACCCTCGCCATGGTGAGTCGGGTGGGTGGGTGGACGGGGACGGAGGGGACCAGCGGCAGGTCGCGAGGGCTCCCGGCGTCGGAGTTCGGCCGTGCACATTTGCGTGGGTTTCAGGCTCCTTAGGCGTAACCCGGGACTCTCCTCCTCCTGCCTCCTGTAGGCGACTTTGCACCAAGTGGATCCCAGGTTTCGGGGTGTCTCTAAGTTGATGGGTGGTAGACTGAGACCCGGATGACCTCCTCTACAAAAATAACCTTGTTGGATAAGTGTTTACCTCTATGTGCACAGAGAAGAATATTTATTTAATACTTGCAAGCATGTTCATAGCCATAGAAGTATGTATGTATATCAAACTGAGTTATTTAAATCAAAATAGATACATAAAAAATAAACACAGGCTGGGCCCCGTGGCACCTATATCTCCAACCGCTTCGGAGACTGAGGCAGGAGGATCGCAAATTGGAGGCCAGCCTCAGCCACTTAGCAAGGCCCTAAAGCAACTCAGCGAGACCCTGTCTCTAAATAAAATAGAAAAAGGGCTGGGGATGGGGCTCAGGGGTGAAGCCCAGTACTGTAAAAAAAAATAAATTTTTTTTATAAATGCAGAGAAGTATTTTAAACATATTTTTAATATTTTTTTCTTGCCTTTTTCTAGGCTCGAAATGCAGAAAAGGCCATGTAAGTATTAATTCTTTTTATTATTATTTTTAAAGGAGTTTTTTTTTTTTTTTTTTTTTTGTTTTCGGTGTACCTTTTTTTTTTTGATGTAGGCTGCTGGGAAGCAAAGCCAGTACCTCACACATGCTAGGCTCCCTCTCCAAGTAACTACCACTCAGCCACAGCCCCAGCCGTCAATCCATTTTCGGCTGAAAAATTGACTCCTCTAGTAAATTCTGGCAGCTTCCAGAATCTACACTGGCTGAATATTTGTTCACCTCTGGATAGTGCGAGATTGACCACTAGGACACCCTGAGATGTTACTCTGTTAACATCTGGATGTTGTTTATCACAGTGGTCTGTGAACTAGAGTTTCCCACAGTCCTTCTGTGCAGTGGAAGTCAAATAGACAGCTAGGCATGGTGACGCAGGCTTGTGATCCCAGTGGCTCAGGAGGCTGAGGCAGGAGGATCGCAAGGTGGAGGCCAGCCTCAGCCACTTAGTGAGGCCCTAAGCAACTCAGCGAGACCCTGTCTCTAAATAAAATAGAAAAAAGGGCTGGGGACGGGGCTCAGTGGTAGAGCGCTTGCCTAGCATGTGTGAGGCACTGGGTTCGATCCTCAGCACCTCATAAAAATAAAATATTGTGTCCACCTACAACTAAAAAACAAATATTAAAAAAAAAAAGAAGAAATAGTAAAGTAAACATTGGAGGTTCAGTCATATAAATGACCTTCTATTACCCAGTCTTTGAACATTGGAAATCCTTACCTACTGTGTGGTTTCTGAATTGCAGTTTCTATGATTGACACCAAGTGTGGTCCTTGTCCCCCAGCCAGTGTCTTGGTTGGGAGGAGATCCGCGAGCAGGACCTAATGCAGTGTTTTTTTATCCTTCCTAGGACGGCCTTAGCCCGATTTCGCCAAGCTCAATTGGAAGAGGGAAAAGTGAAGGTCGGTGTCAATCTTCCTCATTTTCTGCTAAACATACCTCAAGACCAGATGCAGGGAAACTCCTTCCTGGGCGGACTTTGAACTCCAGATCTTCCTGCCTGCACTTGGCTGATGTGCGAAAAAGAGTCTATACACTTGAGCTAGGTGCCCTGGCCCACGTGTGTAATCTTGGCAATTTGGGAGGCTGAGGCAGGAGGATCACAAGTTTCGAGGCCAGCCTCTGCAACTGAGAGAGAGAGAGAGAGCCCATCTCAAAATAAATAAATAAAATAAAAAATATGTTTTGAGACATCCTGAAAAGTCTGGGGATGAAGTTCAGTGGTAAAGTGCTCCTGGATTCTACCCCTCATACTGCAAAAAAAAAAAAATAATAATAATAAAATAAATCTGTGTACTTGAATTCCAGATGTTCCCCACTCTACCTGAGACAGCGTGATCATCTGTCTCCTTGATTTTCCATTTTCTCCAGTGAATTGCCACCCGCCCTCCCCTTATTGTGGGTCAGCATCCACACATCAGAGAGGACATCCGGCCTTTGGTTTTGGGGGACTGGCTTATTTCACTTAGCGTAATAGTCTCCAGCTCCATCCATTTACCTGCAAATACTGTAATTTTAGTTTTTCTTTCTTAGCTATCACATGTTAAGGTGGTGGAACTGCCACAGGATGGATGCTTTATTTAGCCATCTCTCTTACCGCTGGACATCTGTTGTGGTGTTTGACTGTACTAGATAACATTGAATTGAATATTTTTTTCTCTATTTTTTTTTTTTTTTGGATAACCAGGGATTGAACCCTGGGGTGCCCAACCCCTGAGCCCCGTCCCCAGCCCTTTTTAGATTTTATTTAGAGACAGGGTCTCACTGAATTGCTCAGGGCCTTGCCAAGTGGCTGAGGCTGGCCTCCACCTTGCGATCCTCCTGCCTCAGCCTCCCAAGCCACTGGGACAACAGGTGTGCACCACCACACCTTGCTTTGATATTTGGTTCCTGAGAAGTGATTGCAGGGTGAGATTTGAAGCTGGATGAGACTCTTCTGGGACTGACACTGCCCTGTGTGTTTCGACCATCAGACATTTTAGGCTGTAGTCGGGAATCCGCTGTGAAGGCCACCTGAGTTTGTGACCAGTGGCCACACGTGTTGTTTCTCCACAGGAAAGAAGACCCTTCCTTGCCTCAGAATGTACAGAGCTGCCCAAAGCTGAGAAATGGAGGCGACAGGTACTTTCTGGGTGACTCTGAAATCAGTCTCTGATGGGGCGGGGCCAGGCCAGTGGGTGGGGCCAGGCTGATGGGCGGGGCCAGACTGGTGGTGGGATAGGCCAGTGGGCGGGGCCAGGCCAGTGGGTGGGGCCAGGCTGCTGGTGGGATAGGCCGGTGGGCGGGGCCAGGTATGTGGGCAGGGCCAGGTCCTCGGCTGTGTCATGTGAACCTAGCACAGTGCCTGGGACTCAGCCATCAATGCTGCTTGGTGGGAAGATAGTTGGACACATACAGATACATGCGTGCATAGGACACAGGGTGGAGGGATGATTTTAAGTATTTTTTAAAAAATTTTTTTAGTTGTAGATGGACATAATATCTTTCTTTATTTTTCTGTGGCCACAACACCTTTATTTTATTTATTTATTTTAATATGGTGCTGAGGATCGAACCCAGGGCCTCACGCATGCGAGGCAAGCGCTCTGCCACTCAGCCCCAGCCCCAGCTCCCTGATCTTCTAAGTATTTTTAATGAGTAATTTTGAATTACAGTTCTCCAGTGTTTTTCGGTGTATTCAAACATCATGAACGTACTACTTTATTTGTTCTTTTTTTTTTTTCCCCCACAGATCATTGGAGAGATCTCCAAAAAAGTGGCTCAGATTCAGAATGGTAAGCTACCTTGTCATTTATTTTCTTTTATTTTGGGGTGTCAGGAATTGAAATCAGGGACGCTTAACCCATGAGCCCCGTCCCCAGCCCTTTTTAGATTTTATTTAGAGACAGGGTCTCGCTGAGTTGCTGAGGGCCTTGCTAAGTGGCTGAGGCTGGCCTCCAACTTGTGATCCTCCTGCCTCAGCCTCCTGAGCCCCTGAGATTACTGTGTTTGCCACCATGCCCAGCTAATAGCTTGTTATTTTAGTAATTATATAAAATGGAACTACAGGTTTTTAGGTTATAGGATGTCTTGGGTTGCTAATCAGAATAAAGTTGTTTTTTTTTTTTTTTTAAGGATATTTGTTTTCTCTTACATTAGTGGGAACTCATCTGGGCATGGTGGCACACACCTAATCCCACCAGCTCAGGAGGCTGAGGCAGGAGGATCGTGAGTTCAAAGCCAGCCTCAGCAACAGCGAGGCCCTAAGCCACTCAGGGAGACCCTGTCTCTAAATAAAACACAAAGTAGGGCTGGGGATGGGGCTCCGGGGTTCAGGCCCCTGGGTTCAATCCTGGTACCCCTCCCAAAAAAAAAAATTAGTGGGAGCCCTTGATAACCGTAGCCCTTCGTTTGTATGGGTGGGTTGTCCCTGTGGCATTTGGGAGAACCCTATTGACAGGCGCGTTTCTCCAGCTGGTTTAGGTGAATTCCGAATTCGCGACCTGAATGACGAGATCAATAAGCTGCTGAGGGAGAAGGGACACTGGGAGGTCCGCATCAAGGAGTTGGGCGGACCTGATTATGGAGTAAGTGCACCGCAGCCCCCAGGGGCGGGGCGTGCTGGTGGGCGGGGCTTGCTGTGGGTGGGGCTATGCTGATGGGCGGGGCTGTTCTGATGGGCGGGGCCATGATGGTGGGTGGGTCCAGGCTGGTGGGAGGGCAAGTTGGTAGGCGGGGCCAGGCTGGGGCTGGGGCCAGGCTTGTGGGCGGGGCTAGGGCACTGGGTGGGGCCAGGTAGGTGATGGAATTGGCCGGTGGGCGGGGCCAGGCCAGGCCGGTGGGCGGGGCCAGGCCAGGCAGGTGGCCTCACAGTTCTGCCAGCCCTCTCTCCTGTTCTATCACTGAAGAGGGTTTTTTTGGTCACCATGATTACTCAGATTATCTCCCTCTCAACTGGGGGTTGAACCAAGGGGTGTTTAACCCCTGAGCCCTGTTCCCCAGCCTTTTGAATACTTTTTATTTAGAGACAGGGTCTCACTGAGTGGCTTAGAGCCTCACTAAGATGCTGAGGCTGGCCTCCAACTTGTGATCCTCCTGTCTCAGCCTCCAAAGCTGCTGGGATGACAGGTGTGCACCCCAGCACCAGACAATATATATATCTACAAATTTTTATTTATTTATTTATTTATATTTAAATATCTTTATTTCATTTTTATATGGTGCTGAGGATCGAACCTAGTGCCTCACATGTGCTAGGCGAGCGCTCTACCACTGAGCCACAACCCCAGCCCCTATTTTTTTTATATTTTGAGGAAGGGTCTTGCTAAGTTACCCACACTGGTCTTGAACTTGATGACATCCTTCTCGGCCTCCTGAGTTGCTGGGATCATGAATGTGTACCACTGAATTTAGCCTTATTATTATTTTTTAAAAATTATCATCACCCTTTTTTTTTAATGTTTACTTTTTAGCTGTCGATAGGCACAATATCTTTATTTATTTTTTTTTTATTACGTGGTGCTGAGGATCAAACCCAGGGCCTCAGATGTGCCAGGCGAGCGCTCTACCCCTGAGCCCCAGCCCCATGGGTATCTTAAAATATATTTATAGACATGGAAATAGTGTAGAAATCAGATCTGTTTGTCCTTTTTCCCTTCCTGTAAGAAAGTAGGCCCTAAAATGCTGGATCATGAAGGGAAAGAAGTCCCAGGAAACCGAGGTTACAAGTACTTCGGAGCAGCAAAAGATTTGCCTGGAGTTAGAGAGCTGTTTGAAAAAGAACGTAAGTAACTCGTATTTGTCAAATTTTTAGCCTCCAGATGTTGTTGTTCATCACAGTAGATAAGGTGTATGGTTTCGTTGTTTTTTGGTATCAGGAATTGAACCCAGGGGCACTGAGCCCCATCCCCAGCCCTTTTTGTATTTTATTTAGAGACAGGGTCTCATTCAGTTATTTAGGTCCTCGCTAAATTTTTGAGGCTGGCCTCCCACCTTCAATCCTCCTGCCTCAGCCTCCCTACTGCTGGGATGACAGACATGCCCCACTACACCTGGCTCTATGCTATATGTGCTACGTTACATGTAAGGTGATCTTCCGTATTATGTGTTAGCTTGCACAACATCCCTGTTGTATAGGAAATTATTTTTCCCAGATTTCAAATGAGAAAATATGAACATTAATATATAACATATATAATAGGCTGAAATCACAGGTCTAGGGCACAAAATTGGGGCTGGAAAGCGAGCCCAGGATTGGCTGGTGCGGAATTCTACCCTCTCTGTAGAGGCTCGATGTCCATCTGGATGTGGGGTTCCCCAAAGTGATAGAGGCAGGTTCTGAAGTTATTGAGTCATGTTCACGTTGCAGTTGAAAAAAATCATAACTGATAAACAAATAAAAATCTTGTGCCAAACCCTAACTTGTATAAATGGAAGAAAGCTGAGCACGGGGTTGCGCACCTGTCATCCCAGTGAATCGGGAGGCCGAGGCAGGAGGATCACAAGGTGGAGGCCAGCCTCCGCCACTTAGCAAGACTCTGTCTCAAAATAAAAAAAAATGGGATGGGGCTCAGTGGTAGAGCACCCGTTGGCTTAGTCCCTAGTATCAAAATAATGAATAATATAAATGATAATAATAGTGATAAATCATATTTTGAAAAAATCGAGGAGAGTGAGGCTGTTTCCTTCTGAATTCCAGTTCTCTCTCTTTTTCCTTCCCACCACAGCTGTGGGGAATTGTAGCCAAACCTGGGCCTTTCAGAACTGTAATTTGAAAATGCTGGCCTGGAGCTGAAGTGTATTTTAATTTTGCTTCTTAGAAAAGTCGTCTAAATAAACACTTTGTTCCAAAAAAAGAAATGTGAGAAGCAAAAAAGAATGGGACCAGTGTTCTCTGTGCTGTTGACATTGTCCTGTGTTGTTTTCTGGTTGTTTTATTCTCCCTTTTTAAAAAAAATATAATTCTATTTATTAAATTTACATATTGGGGCCAGGAGCTGGGGCTCAGGGGTAGAGCACTTGCCTGGCATGCGTGAGGCCCTGGGTTCGAGTCTCAGCACCTTATATCAATAAATTAAATAAAGGCCCATTGACAGCTAAAAAAGTATTAAATAAACATATAGACCCCTGAGCCCCATCCCCAGCCCTTTTTCTATTTTATTTAGAGACAGGGTCTCGCTGAGTTGCTCAGGGCCTTGCTCAGTGGCTGAGGCTGGCCTCCACCTTGCGATCCTCCTGCCTCAGCCTCCCCGGCTGCTGGGATTTCAAGCGTGGCCCAGCCTGGATTCCTGTTAGAAACTCATTGATGGGACCAAAGCACTGATTTCCAAAAGGGTTACACCCCTATGAGGTCCCTCCACTACGTGAACGGTGTAGGGGATGCCTGTTCCCTGGTGTCCTCCTGACCACACGTGCGGTGTGGCTGTGCAGCGTTGTGTGTGACAAAGGCTCAGGGGACTGTCACCTGCGCACTCACCTGAGGCCCTCTGTTTCTGGTAGCTCTTCCTCCTCCCAGAAAGACACGGGCCGAGCTCATGAAGGCCATTGACTTTGAATACTACGGTTACCTGGATGAAGACGACGGTGTCATCGTGCCCCTGGAGCAAGAGTATGAGAAGAAACGTGAGTGAGCCCCACTGCTCTCTGGGTGGCCTCTGGGTCCGGTCTCTGCTTTCAGAACGTGGTGTATTTATTTCTTTTTGGCGCCAGGGATTGAACCCAGGGACACTTAACCCCTGAGCCCCGTCCCCAGCCCTTTTTCTATTCTATTTAGAGACAGGGTCTCGCTGAGTTGCTTAGGGCCTTGCTGTGAGTAGTTGAGGCTGGCCTCCAATTTGCGATCCTCCTGCCTCAGCCTCCCCAGCTGCTGGGATGACAGGTGTGGGCCACTGTCCTGGCTGAAAGTGGGGTTTTAAATAGAGCCTTATGCCCGAAAGGAATTTTCTCCAAAAGGAGACGTAGCCAGACCCTGTTTCAGAACTCATCTTGAAGCGAGGGCCAGGGTGTAGCCCAGCGGGAGAGGCCTGGCTCCAGCCCTGAATAACACGCAGGGTTCCTTACAGTGACTCATCGTCAGACGTTGGTCAGAATGGCAGGCAGTCGTCAATAAGGGACAGTCCATGTGGGTGAGGACGTGGGAAGAAGGTCCACTCACTCATGGCTGGTGGGACTGCAGATTGGTGTGACCACTGTGGAGATTCCTCAGAAAACTGGGAATGGGCCACCTTGTGACCCCGCGGTTCCACTCCTTGGTTTAAATTCAAAGGACTTAAAATCAGCACACGAAAGGGACACAGTCACATCGATGTTTATAGCACCTCAGTTCACAGTAGCTAAGCTATGGAACCAGCCTAGATGTCCTTCAGCAGAAGAATAAAGAAACTGTGGTCCATATACACAGTGGAATATTACGCAGCCTTAAAGAAGGATGTAATGATGGCATTTGCTGGTAAATGGATGGAGCTGGAGACATCACGCTGAGTGAAATCAGCCAGTCCCCAAAAAACCAAAGGCTGAATGTCCTCTCTGATATGGGAACGCTGACTCACAATAAGGGGGTGGATAGCAGTTCACTGGATGAGACGCAGGGGAGTGAAGGGAAGGGAGGGGAGGGGACTGGGAGAGACAGGGGAGTGAATGGGCGTCCCTTTCCCATGTTCACAGAGGAACCCACGACCAGGCACACCCCACAGCAGGTCCAGCCACAGGAGTGGGAAGTCACACCCCGTGTGGGTGGGACATGGCAGGATGCTCGCTGCTGTCACAGGGAGTTTTTAAAATACTATAAATAAATAGTCAGATGGTGCCGGGCCAGTGCGGTCCCCTCCCTCCAGGGCAGAATGAGGTGACCCTTTCCCGAGGGGCACCTTCATCTGTTCCTGTCGCTGGTGGGAGCTGTTGAGATGAGAATGAACAGCGCCCGCTCCTCCTTGTCTGCAGTCAGAGCTGAGCTGGTGGAGAAATGGAAGGCCGACAGAGAAGCCCGACTGGCCAGAGGGGAGAAGGAGGAGGAGGAAGAGGAGGAGGAGGAGGTCAACATCTACGCCGTCACCGAGGAGGAGGTACTGGCCTGGGTGCTCACTGTCCTCTGCTCTCAGAGGCGGGAGAAGCTCTGTCCAGAAACCAGGGGTCAGGGGTCGAGGCCAGCTGCCTCACCTGCAGGGTGTTGGTCACCTGAGCATCACAAGGGGGTTCCAGACAGCATGGCCCTGGGGACTCCAGGGATGACCTCCTTCCCTCTTAAAGATGGGCCTTTCAGCTGGGGACAGTGGAGCTTGAATGTCATTCTAGGGGCTCTGGAGGCTGAGGCAGGAGGATCGCAAGTTGGAGGCCAGCCTCGGCAACGAAGCAAAGCCTTGTCTCTAAATAAAACATAAAAAGGGCTGGGGACGGGGCTCCGTGGGTAAGCGCCCCTGGGTTCCATCCCTGGGACCAAGAGAAGAAAAAAGACACAAGTGGGTTTTCCACAGAGACCCTCAGCCCTGGGTGTCTTTGAAGCCACCTGCCCACCCACCGTCTCTCACCTCAGCAAACCCTGAAAATCTCTCATCCTCTGTCATTTTGTCATTTGGGGCCAAAACTAAAAGCGGGAGCCTTTATGGAACCAGAATGTCTGTCTGTGGAGTCGCGCTGAGTGCCACCTCAGAGAGCCTGCCCCTTTAGCTGGGCCCTGGAGATATGTCTGAGTCAAGGTCAAGGTCAAGGTCAAGGTCTCTGCACAGTACGGAAAAGTGCACGCACAAGTCAGGAGTGTGGCTCACTGCATTTAGAGCCAGGGTCTCCCTGAGTGGCTCAGGGCCTCAATAAGTTGCTGCGGCTGGCCTCCACCTTGCGATCCTCCTGCCTCAGCCTCCTGAGCCCCAGCCCAAGACCCCGTCTTAATTCTAAAAATAAAAAGGGCTGGGGCTCAGGGGTAGAGCACTTGCCTGGCACGTGTGAGGCCCTGGGTTCGATCCTCAGCACCCCGTAAAATAAATAAAATAAATCTCTGGTGTCTCCAAGTAAAAAAATTATTAAAACCTTTTTTCTTTCACTTTTGAGACAGGATCTCACTAAGTTGCTGAGGCTGGCCTCCACCTTGAGATCCTCCAGCCTTAGCCTCCCCAGTTCCTGGGATTACAGGCGTGTGCTCCCGTGCCCGGCCCCTATAGCCCATGTTTGAGTCACACTCATTACTAATGCAGTTCCCCACTAGGAGGCTGGGTGGCCACCCTTCCGAGTCTCCGTTATTTCCTTAGTTATTAGTGACTGACTCCTAGGCAGCCTCTGAGTTGATCTTTTTTTCTTTGTAAGGTACATTTTTAAATTAAAAAAAAAAAAATTGGGCTGGGTTGGTGGCTCAGTGGTAGAGCGCTCGCCTAGCATGTGCAAGGCCCTGGGTTCAATCCTCTGCACCACAGAAAAATAAATAAAATAAAGGGATTGTGGAGGCCGAGGCAGGAGGATCACAAGTTGGAGGCCAGCCTCAGCAGCACAATAATCTCTAAGCTACTTAGTGAGACCCTGTCTCAAGCTAAAAAGTAAAAAGGAGGGGGACAGGGCTCAGGGGTCAAGCGCCCCTGGGTTCCGACCCCAGCATGGATCTAGTGTGTCTGGCGTAAGCATCCGGGCTCCCTGGTTCCTTGGCCAACAGCTGTGTCGCGGTGCGTTTTATTGAGATGCTGACCTTCCCGGGGCGGGTCATGCTGACGGTCTTGTGCTTCCTGTCTCTAGTCGGATGAGGAAGGCAGCCAGGAGTGGACAGGCGAGGACGGGCAGCAGAAGTTCATCGCACATGTCCCAGTGCCATCCCAACAGGAGGTAGGATGGGGCTTTGGGCGGCACAGAGTGGGTGCTGTTGGGGTCCCTGGGTCACCAGAGCAGGCTCCACAGAGTACCCCAGGGGGGTCTGCGGGGTCCTTCCTCTCCAGGGCGCTCGCTGTCATGCTCATGGAAGGGCCTGGAACCCAGAGATCCTGCAGCCTTAGCCTCAAACACATTCTTTTAGTCGAATGTTTCCAATGGAAGCGAGAAGCCCCCCTTGAGTCCCCCGTCCTCTGTGGACGTCTCCCACAGGGACTCCCTGCTCGCTGGGTTCTGCCTCTGCGAGGCCCTGCTCCCTAGATAAAGAGTGAGTCCTGCTGGCAGCACCCACCTGTCATCCCAGCGCCTCTGGAGGCTGAGGCAGGAGGATCGCAAATTGGAGGCCAGCCTCAACAATTTAGGTGCTAAGCAACTCAGTGAGACTCTGTCTGTAAACAAAATACAAGATGGGGCTGGGGACAGGGCTCAGGGGTCGAGGGCCCCTGGGTTCCATCCCTGGTCCCCCCCCCACCCCCCAAATATAAAGAGTTAGCCCTCTACTTTTGACATCCACAGATTGAAGAGGCACTCGTGCGAAGGAAGAAGATGGAGTTGCTGCAGAAGTACGCAAGCGAGACCCTGCAGGCCCAGAGTGAGGAGGCCAGAAGGCTTCTGGGATATTAGGCCAGGCTGGTGCCCTCCCAGGAGCCTGGAAGGTGGGCTCGATGTCTGGCGCCCCTGCAGCCACCCTGCGTGCCAACAGGTGGTGCTGCGAGGCCCTGCTCCCTTCTCATCCTTCATCTCTTGCCTGGTCTCCTGGGCTAACCCCAGGGGAGGGCCTTGCCGGCTGCTGCTCCAAAGTGTGTAAAAGGAGCCAGCACAGTGGCCCATGCCGTGATCCCAGCAGCTTGGGAGGCTGAGGCAGGAGGATCGCAAGTTGGAGGCCAGCCTCAGCCACTTCATGAGATCCTACCTTTCCATAAAAACTAAGCAGCACGGGGATGTGGCTCAGTGGTAGAATGTCACTGGTTCATTCCCTGGAACCACACACACCAAAAAAAAGTGTGATTTTTTTTTTCTAGAAAAATGAGATGCTGGGTTGACCCTGAACCCTCCCCCATGGGCCGCCAGCCAGAGTGGCCCTGTTCCCCTGGGCCCTGCGCTGGCTCTGACTACCCCAGCCTGCTTCCCGTCTCCCGCCCAGGGGACAAGGCCACTGAACTTGTCACTTCTGTTTTCTAACCTGTTCTGCACACAACTATTTTTATTAAAGATTTTTATAAGAAAGGGGAAGCTCTGTGCCTGCCGTTTGTTCCCTGAGGTGACAACTAAGTGACAGGAATGACACTCCACAGGAAAGAACCTGCGAGGCCAGAGTCGCTGAGGGACTCTGCGGCCTGCAGGGGGCGCTCTGGGGCGGCAGCTCCCGGCTCGGAGACAGCCCAGCCCAGGCCACAGGGGACCCTGCAGGGCGGCCCCCTGGGTTGGCCATGGCAGAGCCCCATGTGGCTGCAGGTGGCTGTGTCAGGGGACAGCAGGGCCTGGCTGGTGGCTGGTGCTGACTCCTGGTGGAAGCCCAAGGCTGCAGGGAACAGAGCAGCCCTAGAGATGTGAACAGGGAAGGGGGAGGTGAGGGCTGGAGCCTTGGCAGCCCTGGGAGACTCTGGGCCCAGCAGCAGCCCAGGCTTGGCTGGAGTTGGGGGCTGAGGCGTGAGCACGCTGAGTCCCTCTGGGCCTCGACTCTGAGTCCAGGAGTGCTCCTGCTGTCTCAAAGTTTGTCCCGGGGTCTTGGCCATCCTGCGGTCTGGACAGAGGCTTCAGATGGCCTGAGAACCAATTGACCTATGTCTGAGCCCCTGGGATGGGGGGCTGGGCCCAGGGCCTGGGTGAGTCTGGGCCCAGGTAGGAGTTTGTCCCCCAAGGGGCACAGCCAGGCCACGGCGCTCCTTCCTGCATTTAGGGGGAGGACAGCAGGGAATTCCAACACCTGGGAAGAGGGTGCGCCTGGAGCAAGCCCATCCTGAAAGCCAAGTGTTCTAGGCTTTTGGTAGACTAAGCCCCTCATCTCCTCCTTGGGTCCTTTTCAGGCTTCCTGGGGTGCAGGTGGAACAGGCCTCTACAATGAGACATGTGAAGCCCTTGGTCACCCTGGGAGCAGAGGAAGGTCCCCAAAGGGCTCCTATCCAAGCCTTCCAGGACATTGGGCAGCTGACTGGGTAGGTGTGGTCATCTTGGCCCAACTCCTTGCTCAGGGGACAGAACCAGTCTGGGCAGCTTTTGTTTGGTTAATAAGATCCTGTTGGTGTTCTATGTTAGTTTTGGCCCAATCTCCGGTTGCAAAAAAAGGTAATTTTTCCATAGACACATTTCCATCTTTTTTCCTCCTTTTCCCTCACCCCTCCCAATTCTCCTGGGAGTCTAAAACAGTCTCCCTCCCATGGCTTTAAGAGTCGCCAGGTGCGGTGGCGCACGCCTGTGATCCCAGCAGCTCGGGAGGCTGAGGCAGGAGGATCGCAAGTTGGAGGCCAGCCTCAGCCACTTAGCAAGGCCCTCAGCAACTCAGCGAGACCCTGTCTCTAAATAAAATAGAAAAAGGGCTGGGGACGGGGCTCAGGGGTTAGGCATCCCCCTGGGTTCAAGCCCTAGTACCAAAAATAAGAAAAAAAATCAAATTTCTTGTGCTGATGACACTGTACATCAGGTCTGGTGTCTGGTGGTCTTTGTGGAATTTTTTCATTTTTATTTCTAATGAAAGTCCCATAGATCTGGCCCTGGCCACAGAAATGAAATCTGGGCGATATTGTGATAGGCTCTTTATCTTTAATAATGGTGACTGCAGAAAATCAGAAAATAATGACCGATTTTCTGGCACAATCGTCCCTGTGACCACTTGGGGGAGTTGTGATCCACGTACCATTGTGGTTACAGGCCCCATTTATTAGCTGAGATGGTTCCAGCATGTGACAGTGACGCCAATAGTCATCATTTACTTAGCCCTCTCACCTCCACACCTGCTTACTAGCTTTAAAAGTGTTCAATTTTTTCTTTTTTTAAAAAATTTTTGGTACCAGGGATTAAGTTAACCCCTGAGCCCCGTCCCCAGCCCTTTTTACATTTTATTTAGAGACAGGGTCTCATTGAGTGGTTTAGGGTCTCTCTAAATTGCTGAGGCTGGCCTCCAACTTTCGATCCTCCTGCCTCAGCCTCCCCAGCAGTAGGGATTACAGATGTGTGTCACCACACCCAGATCAGGGCGCTCCTTTCCCGTCCCCCAACAATTCTAGGTCAGGGCAAGGTAGGATCCAGTTAACCACTGCCCACCCTCTGTCCCTCCTCTGCCACCCATGCCTCCCTCCTCCTGGCTCCTGATCTTCCACTCCACTTGGGGTGGGAGCTGTGCCCCACCTCCCAGGGCCACCCCAGCAGGTGCCAAAACCTTCCCTCCCATGCCCTCAGCCTCCTATTTGGAATGGAGGCCACTTCCTGAAGCTCTAGTTCCCCTCTCCCACCTGAGGTCCCCGAGTGAGGACCTCAGATGGCTTTCCAGTGACTCTGGGGTCTTCCATCTGGACCTATTGGCTGATTCTCAGGGAGGGGACTTCAACGTCTCAGAACAAACAACCCTCGGCCTCCTCCCTGGGCTTGGCCTTTGCCTGCTCTGCACCCCCAGGAAGGCTGCGGGGGGCAGGGTGGCTGGGGTCCTGGGCTGGTGGCGGTGTCCTTGAACTGGGTCCCTGTCCCTTGCAGCTGGGAAGCCCTTGAGGGGTCTTCTTACAGATGCTTGGGTCACATTTCTCTGGGATCCCCGGTCCCCAGGCCAGCCCTGCCTTTCTGCGCTGTCTGCCTGTCACTAGGACAGCGGGTCTGGCTGTCCCCTTCCGCGGGGACCCACTGTGCAGAAGGCCCTTGGGATGCAGGGCTGGGCACACAGGCCCCCTCCTGCCCGGGGCTGGGAGGCCAGTGGGTAGGGGAGCCCGAGCAGGCTGGCGGAGGCCCGGGGGAGAGGGAGGCTGGGCGGAGGACCTGGGGTCGGGACTGGCGGACAGGGCGTGGCGGGTGCAGGGGATGGAGGCCCCCGGGCGGCCCTGGGCTCCCCCTGGGGCTGGGGGCGAGGCCGCGAGCAGGATGTGGGCGGGGCCTGCCTGGTGGGCGGGACTCATCGTGGCTACGGGGAGGAGCGGGCGGACTTCCGGGACGTCGTTCTAAGGGCGGGGTCGGGATGCTGTGGGCGGAGTCAGGAGGGTACCGAAGGCGGAGTCGGGATGCTGTGGGCGGAGTCATGCGGGTGCTGGGGGAGAAGCGCTGCTGAGGGAAAGAGCGGCGCTGGGGGCGGAGTCGGAGTGTTGGGGGCGGAGTTCTGCTGAGGGAAAGAGCGGCGCTGGGAGCGGAGTCGGAAGGGGGCGGAGTCGGGTGCTAAGCGCCGCTGGGGGCAAAAGCGGGCGCTGGGGCGGAGTCGGGTGCTGGGGGCGGAGCGCTGCTGAGGGAAACGGGCGCTGGGGACGAAGTCGGAAGGGGGCGGAGTCGGGTGCTGG